TTTTTTTTTTTTTTTCCTTTTTGTCTTTTTTCGTGACCGGCAACGGATCGCAACCCTCAGTGTCGCGCCCGTACCGGACCGGGACCGGCTACGGGATCGCAGCCCTCGGTGTTGCACCCGCACCTCGCTCAGCCAGTGAGCGGCTGGTCTGTATGTGGGATCCGAACCCTCGGTGGGAGCGCCGCCGCGCTTCCCAAGCGGCGCACTGTAGCAGGGCGCCACCGGGCCGGCCCTTAACTTCTGTTTCAACATAGGTATTCCTGTTGCTCTTTATCCCAGTAGTCCATTAAGGGTAAAATTTAAACAGTATATGACTGAATATAAAAAAACGTAAAACTGTGTAACAGTCAGAAACATCATTGTGGCAAGCAGAATGTTTGGATGAACATCAGGTTGAGAAAGTGAGTGACTGAATCTGAGACAGCTATAGGATCTCCAGCAGCCCCTCCCACATGTTTGTTGCATTCTTAGAGACTCTAAAGATTTAGCTTTTAAAGGAGGGAAGTTTATAAAAATCTTGTTTAGTTTTTTAAAAAATGGTAATTGAAGTAGATGTTATCATAGCCTTGAACCACGTCGAATCCCCAGAGCTCCTTTATGAACTCCAGGGTATATATGCATCATGATTTGGTTAATAATGATCTCAAGCAGGGTTTCTCAGCCTGGGCAGTATTGACATTTGGGGCCAGATAATTCATTGCTGTAGGAGCTGTCCTGTGCATTGTACATTGTTTAGCAGCATCCCTGGCCTTTATCTACTACATGCCAGTAGAACCCCCCTTCTTTCCAATTATGACAACGAGCTGAGGACAGAGTGACATAGTGAGGCAAAAAAAAATAGACTCTGCTTTACATCTGGACTCAGAACCTGAGGCATTAATAGTAAGTTTCATAGCTAATTTTATGTGCAAAATCATATGATGTCTGGGTTTTGCTTTAAAATGCGTGTGTGCACGCACGTGCGTAGCTGAGGGGTGGTGGTGTGTGACAGTGTAGATGAAACAAGATCGACCAATAAAATAATTGATGAAGTTGAGTGATGGGAACACTGGGGACGAGAGGTTGTTATATGAGTCTCTCTACTCTTATATGTGAGGGCACTTCAAAAAGTTAATGGAAAAATTGACTTAAAAGATAATACAAATCTTTCCATGAACTTTTTGAAGTGCCCTCACATATAAGAGTAGAGAGACTCNAAAAAAAATAGACTCTGCTTTACATCTGGACTCAGAACCTGAGGCATTAATAGTAAGTTTCATAGCTAATTTTATGTGCAAAATCATATGATGTCTGGGTTTTGCTTTAAAATGCGTGTGTGCACGCACGTGCGTAGCTGAGGGGTGGTGGTGTGTGACAGTGTAGATGAAACAAGATCGACCAATAAAATAATTGATGAAGTTGAGTGATGGGAACACTGGGGACGAGAGGTTGTTATATGAGTCTCTCTACTCTTATATGTGAGGGCACTTCAAAAAGTTAATGGAAAAATTGACTTAAAAGATAATACAAATCTTTCCATGAACTTTTTGGAGGCCCCTCATACGTTTGAAGTTTTATATCATAAATAGTTTATTTTATATTGTTATTTTTTAAAATTAACTTTTTACTAATCAGTTTAGCATAGATTAGAACTCTAAATTTAATCTGTTCTGTTGCCTAAAATCTTTGGAGTATTATTTAGTTTAGAGTCATCAATCAAATGAAATAATGGATGTTTATTAAATTTTAGCTGGAATGTATATAAAATTTCAGATAGCTGTCAAAATAATATAAAGCCAGGAGAAAGGAATCTCCTAGGCTCTGACAGCCTTCGCAGACTCTCTAAAATGTTAGCAGTAAACCATAACCTTAGATCAGTTAAGTTATAAAACAGAACTTAGTAGTATGTCCAGTAATTGTATTTTCTACCTACAATGTTGTAGATTTTAATAATCTAATTGACAGGTAAAACTGCCCATTCAGGGCCGAGCCCGTGGCGCACTCGGGAGAGTGCGGCGCTGGGAGCGCGTCAGCGCTCCCC